ATGGCACAAATGGTTAAAAAGTGTAAACTTTAAACCATGATAAAAAACAGTTTTGAATCTAAAGTTCCATTTGAAATTTATTGAATAAGAGTGTCTGTTTTCCTCACTCTTCAGTGCCATCTCTGTGGGTGTATGCTTAGTTGCTCAGTCATGCCCGACTCTGTGCGCGTCCATGGACTGTAGCCCACCAGGCTCTTCTGTCCATGGGATTTTCCAGGCAAGAATATTGGAGTGGGTTGCTGTTTCTTTCTCCAGAGGATCTTCCTGACCCAGAGAGCAAACCCAAGTCTCCTGTGTCTCCTGCATTGCATTGTACCTCTTTACCTGCAGAGCTACTAACTCTTATTATATGGGATTTAATTATGTACTTTCAGAAATAATACACATGGGGCAATAAATTTAGTGTTTGTTTACATGCAGGTTGTGTGTCCTACCATCTCTATATTGAAGTGTTCTGCCTGTACTTGTTTATAAGATTAATTTATTAAGTTTGTTGCTTGGAGGTAATTTAATAGTGTTTATCAAAAATGATCATTCATATACCTTATCTTCTCTTGCTGTATGTGTCTACCATGAATACATGCATTACCTTCTGAAGATAATATAATAGTTTCTTATTTGGCAAGTGATGAAAGTAGAATGAGTAGAAACTGAAATTAACACCACCCATAAAACACACTGACATATTAAAACAGACATTGTTCACAAATTGCCTTCTGGCTTTAAAGAAAAATGTAGCTTCAGTTAATGTTTTAATAAGTCTTTCTTTTTATTCTACAAGTTTTGCTTAAAATTTTACTGATTTTGCACTACATATTTTTCATGTTATAGTGAAAAGAAATAGTCTAATTTACTAAACTATGTTATTCTGTCTAATACTGCTAAGTAAACATATGTAATTGCTCAATATATGCTTCTAGTCTGACAGTGTAGATTTAAGTGGGGACTTGCTACAATGCCTAGATTTTGTTCTTTTTGTATGACACTCAACAGTGGTTTGGTGATATTTACCAGAACTTCCTTGGGGTTTCCCAGGTGACACAGTGGTAAAGAATACACCTGCCAATGCAGGATACGCAAGGAACACAGATTTGATCCCTGGGTCAGGAAGATCTGGAGTAGGCAATGGCTACCCGATCTAATATTCTTGCCTGCAAAATTCCATGGACAGAGGATCCTGGTGGGCAATAGCCAATGGGGTCACAAAGAGTCAGACATGACTGAGCACAACAACAGGAACAACAATAAAACCTCCTTAAGGCCTACAGAGTGTCTGAGGGCTCTGATTGAAGCTCAGCCTGAAGTAGCTTCAGGCGCTGGTCAGGGACTGAGAATTAAGGGACTCTTCTTTCTACAAAGAATCCCACTTTAGTCCCCCAGTGTTTGGAAAGCTTCATCACCTACTAGGAGATTTCTAAAGAGAAGGTGAAGCAGGTGATAATAGAGAGAGGCTCTGATTATGAAATCAATGATTAAAATTTAAATGGAGTCCCTTGGCCTGTTCTCCTGAACCTCTGAAACCACCCTCACAAACATGCTAATACTGTGAGTCCTTTCATTGCTTAAAGAAGGAAGAAAGGTCTTTTAAAAATAAAGTGATTTTTTTCATTTATTGTTTTTCAGTCACTCAGTCATGTCTGACTCTTTGTGACTCCATGGACTGCAGCGTGCCAGGCTTCCCTGTCCTTCACCACCTCCCGGAGATTGCTCAAACTCATATCCATTGAGTCAGTGATGCCATCCAACCATCTTGTCCTCTGTCATCTCCTTCTCCTCCTGCCTTCAGTCTTACCCAGGGTCAGGGTCTTTTCTAATGAGTCAGATCTTCGCATCAGGAGGCCAAAGTATTAGAGATTCAGCTTCAACATTAGTCTTTCTAGTGAATATTCAAGATTGATTTCTTTTATGATTGACTGGTTTAATCTCCTTGCAGTCCAAGGGACTCTCAAGAGTCTTCTCCAACACCACAGTTCAAAAGCATCAGTTCTTTGGCATTCAGTCCTCTTTATGGTCCAACTCTCACATCCATACATGTGACTACTGAAAAAACCATAGCTTTGACTAGACTGACCTTTGTTGGCAGGTGATGTCTCTGCTTTTTAATAGGCTGTCTAGGTTGGTCATAGCTTTTCTTCCAAGGAGCAAGCATCTTTTAATTTCATGGCTGCAGTCACTGTCTGCAGTGATTTTTGAGCCCAAAGAAAATTAAGTCTGTCACTGCTTCCATTGCTTCCCCAACTATTTGCCATGAAGTGATGGGACTGGATGCCATTTTCTTCGTTTTTTGAATGTTGAGTTTTAAGCCAGTTTTTTCACTCTCCTCTTTCACCTTCATCAAGAGGCCCTTTAGTTCCTCTTCGCCTTCCACCATAAGGGTGGTGTTATTTGCATATCTGAGGTTATTCATATTTCTCCTGGCAATATTGATTCCAGCTTGTGCTTCATCAAGTCCAGCATTTAGCATTTCTGCACATAGTAAATAAGTGTGGTAACAATATACAGCCTTGATATATACTCCTTTCCTGATTTGGAACCAGTCCATTGTTCCATGTCTGATTCTAACTGTTGCTTCTTGACTTGGACACAGGTTTCTCAGGAGGCAGGTCAGGTGTTCTGGTATTCCCATTTCTTTAAGAATTTTCTACAGTTTCTTGTGATCAACACAGTCAAAGGCTTTAGCATAGTCAATGATTTATTTTCCATACATTAGCTTAGTAGTGTTAGTCTCTCTGTTGAGTCCAACTCCTTGCGATCCCATGGACTGTAGCCCACCAGGCTCCTCTGTCCATGGAATTCTCCAGCCAAGAAAAGTGGAGTGAGTAACAATTCCCTTCTCCAGGTGATCTTCTCAACCCAGGGATTGAACCCAGGTCTCTTGCATTGCAGGCAGATACTTTTCCATTTGAGTCACTGGGAAGGCCATAGATTAAGATTAAGATAAGAAGGCCATAGATTATGTAATCCTTTATCTAAGAATATACTTTACCAAAGAATATACTTTGAAAACTAGGTGGACACTTCAAACCTTAGACCTCTTACAGGATGGGAATTTGCTCTATGAGAGGAACCTGAAGGAAAAAAAATGTTCAGATCACATAAACTGTGATGGGTAAAGAGACATTCCTGTTATCATTATAAGCAAAGAGACTCTAACTCACTTCTATCAGTTGGGCTGTTTCACGCCCTTTATCTCCTCAAATAGAAGTTTTTGAAGAGTCTCAGTTTGAACCCCAGAGTAGAATGCTGTCCATAGTTTAGGACCTTGTTTGGAAGATAGAGGGGAGTCAGAGGAGAGGGAGAAATATGGAGGATCAGCCTCCCTTCACCTGGGCATATTGTGTAAACCTCATATACACAGCTAAAGGAAGAGAAATTGCTTGCATGTTGGAATCTTACAAAGAATATAAAGTTTTTTCTAAAAATCTGAAGTATAATGGTATTTATTCTCCTGACAAGGAAATCTTACCATTGCTTACATAGTTGTTTAGACTTTGATCCTATATCTAAGAGTTTTAAGGGAGACCTTAAATTTGGTTATCAGGATTTTTCAGTTCAATTCAATAATTGTTTTGAAACATCCTATGACCAGTGATTTTCAGTGCTTTGGAGGCATACAGCCAGTTGATCAGTTTTGTGCAAATGAAGTTATCTTTATAATGTGTTTTTAATTTTGGATTTTGCTCAGGGATACATATCTTTTGGTGACATGCCCTGTGCCTTCATGCATTTCTCTTTCACCAGACATAAAACTAAGACAAGAAAATATGGTATGGGAGTCTCTCTGTCATTTTCCTTCATGCTGGAGAAAAGAAATGTCTGTATTCATCTTCGTTCTCAGGCTTTTGTGAAGTGAGGAGGAAAGTCCAGCCCCCAGGCTAGATGGGATTTGAACGTGGAGATTCTGAGCAGTTCTGGGCACTTGTGGATGGTTCAGATCCCCTCTCATACCCACACATGCGCATCCCCTTTTTCTGCACACTTCCATTAAAAGAGTCAATTGGACTCTTCTCTGCTGCCCATGTTTTATGATCTTGCTTACTAGGAAGTTCCAGAAGAAAATATAAATGGCCTACATGAGCTTATGTACAAGAGTCTCTCTTGAAATTCAGAAGGAGGCATATATTTCCTGAGTAATTTACTTGTGGGTCCCCCTGAAGTATGAATGAATAGGAAGAACTGTTTAAAATTTTATTACGTCTCATGTCACAGTGGGTTTCAGGTTATCCTGTCCTTGCAGTTAATAATGAGGTTGTGAGGCAGGTCATCCTGACACACAGGTGAGAGAATGTGAGGATCAGCTGATGCAGAATCAGAGGTGATCTCTCCATGGACAGAGGTGCTGCAGGCCCAGGTAGTTGACATTCCTTTTGCATGTGTGGAGATTTTCCAGTCACACGTGTGGAGAGACTCCCCACCCCAGAAGGCTGTTTTACGAATGGAGAAAATATCATAGTTTATTCTTCAGTTGAAGTGTTAAAGTATTTAACAGTTTTGCTTTGAAGCACAAACCTCAACTAATTGTGCTCTTGGTATTTCCCAGCATCACATCAGAATTGACAGTTAATTTATGTAGATCTTAATGTAAAGTTTCTCAAGTAATCATATCCTCAGTTTGTGTGTGTGTGTGTGTGTGTGTGTGTGTGTGTGTGTGTGTGTGTATGTTTAAGCAGATATTACCAGGAAGGCATTTTTTTTTTTTTTTAATAAAATCTTTCCTTCCCTTCTTCAGTTTTTTTTCTTTAGGATGAAAAAACTTCAACACTTTGTTCTGTTAGTGTTCAACAGTTTGGAGGATATTTTGTAGCATACTTTGTGCAATGGAAAATTATTTTAGATATATTGTTTTATAAATAAATACAACCCTATTAATAATTACAGTGAATTTTAATATTTTGTATTTTAATTCTTTTCTATAAATATTTGTATAAAATAAAAAGAGATTAAGGTAGTAACATTCCCTATTTTGTGGTATTTAGGAACCTGTTTTATTCACTGGAACAATGAGGAAAAATCTGGATCCCTTTAATGAGCATTCAGATGAGGAGCTGTGGAATGCCTTAGGAGAGGTATCTTATTAAATGCAATGAACATGTTAACACCAGTATCTGTGTATATATATTTATAGCAGCCCAGGTATTTAAGGGTAGCTTATTGCTTTAACAGACTTTGTTTATCTCCTAGCAGAACACTGATGACATGTGTATTGATGATGATGAAAATCAACAATATAATGCCTCATGTTTCCATTTTAGATTTTTCCCTAGAACCCCAAGGAACTAGATACCTTATCTTGTCTTTCTTGTTGCTGCTGCTGTCCTTAGCAGAGCACTAAACTAGAGGTTAAAACTGTCAGATCAAATTCTACTAATGAATTCATTACCCTATTTACACTTCAGTGTTCATTTTATTCCTCTGGTCTTAGGGAACTTCTACTAAGTGGAGACAATAGTAATTTTTCATTATTAACAGAAAGATAAATGAGATCATTCCAATAAAATGTTAGGAAGTTTCATAAGAAAGTGTTTATAAAGATATATTGTACAGTTGAAAATGTGGTGATTATATACTGGTGATCATGCCATTTAATGCTGCAGCATGAGTGCAGGTAAGAGACCCTGGAGATTTGGCTCAGTTTTTATATGGATTGGTTCATTTCTAGAGGATTTTTTTGTTATTTGTGTCATATTTTCCCTTGCCCCACTTCTTTGAATTTCTTCACCCTTGCATGAGAAAAGTTTCGACTATAAAGTTGTTGGTTTGTGTATTTTAATATTAATTATTTTGTGTATTAGCCCTGGTTTTGCAAACTGATTCTTCTGATGGCAGAAACTCTAGACATCTAAGCCACAGATAGGTCCTTCTAATCTCATAGGACCTCGTTCAGTCTTTGGCTTTTAAAAAGTAACACTTAAAATAGGTGGGCTCAATGGTAAAGAACCCACCTGCCAATGCAGGAGACAAGATGTAGGGTTTGATCACTGGGTGGGAAGATTTCCTAGAGTAGGAATGGCAACCTACTTCGGTATTCTTGCCTAGAAAATTCCATGAACACAGGAGCCTGGCAGGCTACAGTTCATGAGGTTGCAAAGAGTCAGACATGAGCCACTGAGCAGGCAATAACAAAATCCCCACGTTGCTGGAAATCAAGGTGGGTGTGTAAAGACTCAGTGCCGACATCCTTCAGAAATGTCTGGTTGATTACTTCATTTCAAGTGTGGCTTATTTCTTAAAAAAATTTTTTTGGTTACACAAATCCAAGTGACTGATTGTTCACATTGTTTTTTGAGTTGGTGTGTTTGTCATTTAGTGTCACCCTTCCGGGGAAGCTCTGAAATCTGTAATATACAGATGAGCCTTGACTGTAAGCAGGCAGATTTGGAGGTTGGACAATTCCCAGCTGGTAACTCTGGTTTCTGAAGGATGTCGGCACTGAGTCTTTACACACCCACCTTGATTTACAGCAATGTGGGGATTTTGTTTTCGTAAATTGAACTAGTTGCCTCACCCCCTCCTGTCTAAAAAGATGGGCACCTCTGATTTCGTTTGAACTTATGAGTCCTTTACAGTGAAATTCTAAAAAAGAAGAGGTAGAGAGAATGGTTAACTACCAAATTTAAAGAAAGATAGCATGATCCACTGATCTTGAACTCACAGGACAGATTTAATGGTGAAATTATGACATCTTAAAAAAGAAAATCAAACTGAAAGTAATGGTAAATTATTTTTTCTACTTGTTCCTGAGCTTGAGATCTCTCTTCATAGATTCTCAGATAGTAAAATTATTCTTGAACTTTAGAACATATTGTTCCGTGGACAGAGATATGTTAATTGGGAGACAAATCCTGTTAAAAACTGTCTTAGAACTTGGTCCAAACTTAAGTCACCTGTAACAACAAAAAAAAATTAATATAAATTAAAACAAAAGGGAAAGGTCTTCCCTGGTTACTTGGACAGTAAAGAATCTGCCCTCAACGTGGGAGACCTGGGTTTGATTCCCAGGTTAGGAAAATCCACTGGAGGAGGAAATGGCAACCCACTCCAGTATTCTTGCCTGGAAAATTCCATGGACAGAAGAGCCTGGTAGGCTACAGTCCATGGGGTAGCAAAGGGTCGGACATGACTGAGTGACTAAGACTTTTACTCTTAGTAGCCTATCAATTCTAAAAATGATGAGGTAATGGAAGTGGTAGATAATACTAAGCTCTAGTTTTATTTAAACTAAATTTGAAACATTCTGTAAAAAGAAATAAGCATGAGTTTATTTCACAAAGTGAAGTGTATGGTTTTCATGAATTGCTTCTTGGTTGAAACTATTGACCTGTTACTTTGCTGATATCACCTAGAGAAATCATCCCATCATTGGGTTTCTCAGAAATTGTTTCTTTTTGACTTAAAAAAATTAATTTATTTTAACTGTAGGGTAATTTACAATATTGTGATGGTCTTGCCATACAGCAACATGAATCAGCTATGGATACACATGTGTACCCCCCAATCCTGAAACCCCTTCCTCCTTCCTCCCTACCCTATCCCTCTGGGTTGTCCCAGAGCAACTGCTTTGGGTGCTCTGGGTATCGAGCTTGGTGCTTCATGTATCGAACTTGCACTGGTCATCTATTTTACATATGGTAATGTACATGTTTCATTACTATTCTCTCAAATCATCCCACCCTCACCTTCTCCCACTTCTTTATGATTTTTTTTTAAAAAAGGAAACCTACCAAATCTTTCATTGAAAAACATACAGATGCCATAAAAAAAGAATTCCTAGAGAAACAGAATGAAGTGATAATTTGTCACTATAAGAGATGTCACTAAAGCAATGAGGTCAATTTTTAAGTGAACTAAAAACCCAAGTCATTGCTTTACAGATGATGCCAACCTGGACTTGTGAACCCAGACTCACAGAATTGGCCTGAGAATGAGTGAGACAGCACCATTATTTTCCTCTTTACTAACTTCAATTAAAAGGAAAAGATGCCTTTTCTATTTTTAAAATGTCTCCTAGCTCTTTGTCTTTCATCTTGCTCGGTGGAGAAATACATTCAGAAGGGAGATAGTTTTATGGACGCTGCCTGTCTCATCTTGGTTATTTTTCTAAATAGGCTGAAAATAACAGTTTTCATATACTGAAAAATATCCAGTTTACTGTAAGTGGAAGAAAGTCCATCAGAAATTAGTGCTGATTGTGGTGATAAGCAGCAGTGGCAACTCTACAAATGTAACAAGAGTAGTGCCTGAAAATGAAGCACTTTATCACTCAAAAGGTAAAAGAAGATCACAGTAGATAAAACTCTAGAAATAAATCAGCAATGTTTTGCTTCTCTTAAAAAACAAAAACAAGGACTTCCCTGATGGTTCAGTGGTTAAGAATCTGCCTACCACCACAGGGTACACATGTATCTCTGGTCCAGGAAGGTCCCATGTGCTGGGGAGCAGCTAAGCCCGTGTGCCACAGATACTGAGCCAGAACTCTAGAGCCTGCAAGCCACAACCACTGAAGCCAGCACACCCTGGAGCCTGTGCTCCACAACAAGAGAAGTCACTACAATAAAAAGCCCACACACTGCAAGGAGCATATTCCTCACTCACCACAATTAGGAAAAGCCTGAGTGTAGCAATGAAGACCTAGTGCAACTAAAAATAAAAAAATAAAATAAAATAAAAAAAGCTTAGATTTGCTGGGATATGGAATTAAGCATATAGTATATCATGTCAAAACTAGAAGAAATCAACTGGTTATATTCCACATTGATAGTATCTCTGTTAGGACCCAAGTATGTCTCATCACACAGGAAACCAAGATACACAAATTTGGGCATCAGGAACCATGTGCTTCAGTCCTTGCTGTGGGACAGCTCACATATCCACTTCCCGGGCCTTGTATTAGGTGAACGGGCTTTCGCTTGACGTTGTTTACTGCTGGTCCTGCTCTAGTAAAAGCTCTTACCCATCTGTTGATTGCATTTAAGTGTCTCCTTCCAGCCCACACCAACCCTTCTTTTTGAAAACTTAGAAGGTTCCACAAAGTGTAGAAGCCATCTGATATCTGTGTTCACCTCCTGTGAGGGGTGCTGACACCTACCAGATACACCACATGTAGTAGGTTACTTTCAAAATGTTTATGGTGATAGAAATAGAGTATCTTATAAATTCAGTTTATTACTTTCCAGTTTTGCTGCATTTTATTATTTTCCCAAGTTCAAAAATGATCTGAAGTATTCTACATTGTGCTGGAGATGTATGGTTTTGAATAGTATGATTTTCTCCATTTTTCTTAAGGTACAACTTTTTCAGCACTTTTCACAGTTTAAACTGTGATGTGATATCTTGGAGCTAGTTAATTGTTATAATAATTTATTCCTTTTGCAGGTACACTTAATAAGAAAAGAGTGTTAAATGTAAATTATCTATATATATGGATTTATTTCCTAATTTATAGAAACAGATATGTCACACTATGAGATTTACTTCTGCATTCATACAGCCAACAAATATCTACGGAGAGCTTGTTAGTCAGTCAGTGTTGCAGATTCTGGAGCTCTCATAGTTATCAAAAGAGACAAAGTCCCTACCCTTTTGGAGCTTAAATTCTTGTGGAGAAGATGGAAAACAAGCCAATGCATGTGTAACAAAATCTCAGTGCTGATATATGTAAAGGAGAATAATAAAGAAAAATATGAAGTGGGACTAGCTGACAGTATTATTAACAATGGGCAGTATCCATTGATCTCTTTGTATCAACCACTGTTTTAAATTGACTCATTTAAACACATTGACTCATTTTATACTAACAATGTTAAGAGTTATTAGGTTGGTGCAAAGGTAATTGCGGTTTTACATTGTTTGTACATTGCTGTTTGATATTGGAATATATTCTTAAATGTGGTTATGTTATACTTTATTTTAATGGACATTTCTCTGTCCATTACTGTCCAAAGTAATCTCTCTGATTTTTAATATGCTATCTAGGTTGGTCATAGCTTTTCTTCCAAGGAGTAAGTGTCTTTTAATTTCATGACTGCATTCACCATCTGCAGTGATTCTAGAATCCAAAAAATTAAGTCTGTCACTGTTTCCACTGTTTTCCCATATATTTGCCATGAAGTGATGACTCAAGTTCAAATTGAGTCATAAAGCAGCAGAGACAACTTGCAGCATCAACAATGCATTTGGCCCAGGAACTGCTAACGAACATACAGTGCAGTGGTGGTTCAAGAAGTCTTGCAAAGGAGCTGACAACCTTGAAGATGAGGGGCACAGTGGCTGGCCTTTAGAAGTTAACAGAGACCAACTGAGAGGATAATGGAAACCTATCCTCTTACAACTACGTGAGAAGTTGCCGAAGAATTCAATGTTGACCCATTCTATGGTCATTCAGCATTTGAAGCAAATTGGAAGGGTGAAAAAGCTTGATAAGTGGGTGCCTCATGAGCTGACCAAAAATTTAAAAAAATCATTTTGAAGCATCATCTTCTTTTGTTCTGTGCAACAATGATGAACTATTTCTTGATCAGATTGTAATGTGAGATGGAAAGTGGATTTTATATGACAACTGGTGACAATTAGCCCAGTGGTTAGACTGAGAAGAAGCTCCAAAACATTCTCAAAGCCAAACTTTCACCAAAAAGAGATCATGGTCACTGTTTGGTGGTCTCGTCAGTCTGATCCACTATAGCTTTCTGAATCCCAGGGATATCATCACATCTGAGAAATATTCTCAGCAAATTAATGAGATGCACCAAAAACTGCAATGCCTGCGGTTGGCATTGGCCAATAGAATGGGCCCAATTCTTCTCCACAACAATGCCTGACCACACATCACACAACCAATGCTTCAAAGGTTGAACTAATTGGGCTATGAAATTTTGCCTCATCCACCATAATCCCCTGACCTCTCCCCAACCAACTACCACTTTTTCAAGCATCTTAACAACTTTTTGCAGGGAAAATGCTCCCACAACCAGCAGGATACAGAAAATGTTTTCTTAGTGTTCATCGAGTCCCAAGGCATGGATTTTTATGCTACAGGAAAAAGCAAACTTATTTCTTATTAGCAAAAATTTGTTGATTGTAATGATTCCTATGTTGATTAGTAAAGATATGTTTGAGTCTAGTTATAATAATTTAAAATTCCTCATCCAAAACTGCAATTACTTTTCCACCAACCTAATATTATGATACTATAGTCTTATTTAGAGTTTAAAAAGCTAAGATAAGAACTTTCCCAGATGGCAGAGCCAGGCCATAAGAACTTTCTATGCCCAGACTGTTTGGCTTCAAGCCTCCAAATTTTTGTTTTAAAATTTTCAAATCACAGGAATGTGGAAAGAGTAATATGATGAACACATATATACTTTCCCCTAGATTCACCAACTCTTAGTATTTTTTCATATTTGCATCCTCTCTACTATAACATATATTTTGCTAAATTGTTCATGAGTACTAGAAATGTTTACTGAAATTTGCATTTCACTGTAAATACATAAATGTACACCTTGTAAAAGTAAAGACATTCTCTTACATAACATAGCACAGTTGACTTATTCAAGAAATTTACTAGTAATATTGCAATATTATCTAATATTTTTCAGATTCTCCAGGTATACCTCCTAGTTATTATTGTCTACTGCCTCTATTATCCTTTTTCCCATCCTAATACTATAACTCAATTATATGATTATACAACATAGGGCTTTCATATTCATATTATTTTCATAACCATCCCTGATTAATAAATGAAATCAAAGTTTCAGAAAACAGCGTTTCCTGAAAAATATTTTTCCTAACAACCCTTTTTCCTCATGAAGCACATATGGACAAAATGAAGGAAAGTTAAATAACCAGGTTACTGGTGAGATGTCTTCAAAATCAGGGGCAAGTGTGAGATTATCTTCAAAGTCAAGATGTCAGTCTTAAGAAAGTCCAACCACTTGCACGACAATCCAAATCTTACCCTTAAGATTTTGTACACCTTTCATGCTAACGCTGCATAATAATACTGTATTTAATCCTAACTCAGAATTCCCCTTTCTTGAGATTGGATTCCATGAGGAGCATAATTCAAGGTCACATTCAACAGAAGTGATCTAGCATTTAGGAAGGGCTTCTCTGGTGGCTCAGCCAGTAAAGAATATGACTACAATGCAGGAGACTCAGGTTTGGTCCCTGGATTGGGAAGATCCCCTGGGGAAGGAAATGGCAACCCACTCCAGTATTCTTGCCTGGAGAATCCCATGGGCAGAGGAGCCTGGTGGACTACAGTTCATGGGGTCTCAAAGAGTTGGAGATGACTGAGCAAGTGACACTTGCACACTTTGAGTTCCTTGTTCAGGAAACTAGAATTTTGTGTCTGTGTAAGACTGAGTGTTTTGTCAAAAACATAATATCCATGCCCAGCATTTAGGATACCATGGAAATGCTGCTTACTCACTTTTGATGTTTTGTTGACATTATAATATGTCAAGTAACTTATTGCTCATCACTCATCAATGTATCGTTCTCTTTTTTGTTCTGTAACTTAACGTATAACCTGAATTTGGTTCTTGCTCTATAATCCTTCTCCAAAATATATATTCATTGTACTGACCCCCTACCACTAAATGTACTTTCAGATTATCTTTGGTGGTTAAAAGTGCTTTTTTTTTTTAATTCTTAATAATACAATTTTATGAAGATACATTAAAATAAACACCACCTATATCTGTATACTGGGGGAAATAAGATGTTGTGTCTTGTTTTTTGTGAGTTTTCATTCACTGCAAAATATTTATTTCATTAAAGAAAATGTACTGGATCAGTCATTATTTGTAGGATTAAACTTGGGAAAGAACCATCATCAGAACAGGCTCCAGGATTATTAATGTATAAGGTGCAGTTTGCCATTGTTTGAATTTGCATATTTTCAACTTTACAAAATGGAAAGTGCTGATAAGATTATATCTTTAGAGAACAATATTTTCCATAATTTTAAAAAAGTTTTTCTCAGTGTACCAACTCCTATGTAAAATGTACTTTGTGAAACTTAGCCAAAAAGATGCTTTTAATTTTTCTGCTTAAATCATGTTGGGAGAAATAGCTTCATTTTTTGAAAGACTTCTTTAACTAATCCCTAGGTAGGGTTTTTGACAGGCTTTATTTTCTTGGACTCCAAAATCACTGCATATGGTGACTGCAGCCATGAAACTGAAAGACGCTTGCTCCTTGGAAGAAAAGCTATAACCAACCTAGACAGCATATTAAAAAGCAAAGCATTACTTTGCTGACAAAGGTCCATCTTGTCAAAGCTATGGTTTTCCAGTAGTCATGTATGGATGTGAGAGTTGGATCATAAGGAAAGCTGAGTGCCAAAGAATTGATGCTTTTGAATTGTGGTTTTGGAGAAGACTCTTGAGAGTCCCTTGGACTGCAAGGAGATATAACCAGTCAATCCTAAATGAAATAAGACCTGAATATTCACTGGAAGGACTGATGCTGAAGCTGAAGCTCAGCCACCTGATGTGAAGAACTGACTCATTTGAAAAGACCCTGATGCTGAGAAAGATTGAAGGTGGGAGGAAAAGGGGACAACAGAGGATGAAATGGTTGGATGGAATCACTGACTGGATGGACATGAGTTTGAGCAAGTCCTGGGAGTTGGTGATGGACAGGGAAGTCTGGCGTGTTGCAGTCCATGGGGTCGCAAAGAGTCAGACAGGACTGAGTGACTGAACTGAGGGTTTCTGGTGGATGTCATGTGACAGATGGAAAAAACTGAGATCTTTCTCTCTTGAGTTGACTCTACCATGTTTATTATGCATGTGTGCATGTGTTCAGTTTTGTCTGACTCTTTGGGACCTCATGGACTATAGCCCACCAGGCTCCACTGTCCATGAAATTTTCCAGGCAAGAATACTGGGGTGTGTTGCCATTTCCTTCTCCAGGGGATCTTCCCTACCCAGGGATTGAACCTGTGTCTTTTGTGCTTCTGGCATTGGCAGGTGGGTTCTTCACTAGTTGAGCCATCTGGATGTCCCACCATCTTTCTCAGTGAACACTAACTGGAAGGAGCTCTCCCCAATACCTGGCTGTATGTGTAAGATACATAAGAAGTCCTGAGAACCTCAAAGCTCTAATGTCTAAGAAGCTTGTCTACTTCTGTGGCAGTTTGTTTAGGAAAATCTCATTCTTTCTGTATCCACAGGTACAACTTAAAGAAATAATCAAAGATCTTCCTGGTAAAATGGATATTGAATTAGCAGAATCTGGATCAAACTTGAGTGTTGGACAGAGACAATTGGTGTGCCTTGCCAGGGCCATTCTCACAAAAAATCAGATATTGATTATTGACAAAGCCACATCAAACATGGATCCAAGGTATGGAAGAGAGGCCCGGGAAACCTGGTATCCGAATTTCAAATGGGGTAAATGGAAAACATTTAGTGATATTTTAAAATGTTTCTAAGTGCTCTCTTTGCCACAAAGATATCTCTTAATAAAATTAATTCCAGAAAACAAAGGAAAAAACCAAGACATGTTGTTATATATAGTGTTAATGTTGTTATGAGGCATCCTAAGAGAGCAAAATTCCTAAATCCAGTTCCTAATAGTTTCTAGCAATTTCGAGGGAAGGTAACTTTCCATTGTTTTATGGAAAACAATAAATTTATAAATAGAATTTTTATAAATAGTTTTTTAGTAACAAGACTATATGTTATTGATTTTTTAAAGCATTATAAAAATATCACATGATATTTTTAAGTATTGTTTGCTTTTCCTGTATTTACTGAACTAAATCAACTTCTTTGTTTGTAGAACTGGTGAGTTAATACAAAAAAGAATCCATGAGAAATTTTCCCAATGCACTGTGCTGACCATCACCCACAGATTGAGCACCATTATTGACACCGACGGGATCATTGTAAGACCCTCTCCTGAGGAATTTCAGTTGTTTCCATTTATGTTCAATTTTTCAACTTATTCTGTCTTATAAAACTCGATAGGAATCTCCAGTAACTTAATTTTCTCTTAGTTTCTCCTCTCATTTCTGAAAATAACTCAAGTACTTAATTATACTATTAAATAATATAGCCAAATAATCTTATATTTTCATATTAAAACTTTATTTGGATTGTTATTTTTTTAAGATAGCCAACCATGAAAGCATTCAAATCCAAAGTACAGCTTCATAATTCAGTGTGGCAGAACACACTCATTTTCACTGTCTCACCATTCTTTCAGCATTTTTGGATTCCCTTAATCAAAAACTTAAGAAGAAATAAAAAAAGAAATCAAAATATGCAAAAACTTAGCCTTTAATTTAGACCACCAAGAGGTTATTGGCTAAGGCTGCAGAATTTCTCAGCTGTTGCTGTCACAGGTGAGTCCATGAGAAGACAGAGCCTAGGGAGAAAAATAGTATTTCACCACAAAGGATTTTAATATAGGAAATTTGTAACATAGGATTTGAGGGCTAGAAAAATGAAAGGAAACACTGGGATAATGATTGTAGGAAGTAGCTACCATGTCCTAGGACAGATTTCCCGTCCTAAGACCTCAAAAGAGAGGCCTAGTGCTCAGACCTCCAAGGAGTGTTCATTGCCTGATTGCTGGTCATATTTGTGAGGGAGCAGGACGGGGCTGGTTCTCCATGTGCTAATAGCTGGGAGCTGGAGTCAGGTCCCAGTGCTGAGGTGGTGTTTTAGGCATAGCAGAAGCCAGGTAGACCATTAGCTCTGCTCTCTACTTTCAATCTCTCTCTAGTGCCTCCTACTGACAAAACCTCACAAAAGGTCAACTGCCTAAAGAGCCTCTGAAATGTGATTTCCAGAGACACCCAGCCTCTGCATCACAGATGACAGTGTAGAAGGAAAGGAAGATCAGGGCAGAGAGACTGTAGATAAATAACTAGCAAGTCTCTTACACAGAAAATTTGGACTCTGCACACATGGCAGCCTCCAAGCTTTGGTCTCTGGATGTCTGTCTGGTATCTTCCCTCCAGGTTTGATGGGATCTTTCTTACTTAGCAATTTATTAATTCCTTAGTAATTTATTATTTCCTTACTTAGTTTTATTTTCTTCTGTTCTTCTTCTGTTGCCTTTCTCTCTTCCTTTTTCACTTTTTTTCCTTTGTTCTTTCCCTCTGTTGCTTGCTGAGTTTCAATAAATATTCAGTTCAGTTCAGTGTCTTGGTCGTGTCTGACTCTTTGTGAACACATGGCCTGCAGCACACCAGGCCTCTCTGTCCATCACCAACTCCTGGAGCTTACTCAAACTCATGTCCATTGAGTTGGTGATGCCATCCTAGCATCTTATCTTCTGTCGTCCCCTTCTGCCTTCAATCTTTTCCAGCATCAGGGTCTTTTTCAGCGTCAGTTCTCTGCATCAGGTGGCCAAAGTATTTGAGCTTCAGCTTCAGCATCAGTGCTTCCAATGGATATGTAGGATTGATTTTCTTTAGGATTGACTGGTTTGATCTCCTTGCAGTCCAATAAATGTTAAGGTATGGCTTTATAAAATGATAAGGAAAGCATTGCTCAAAGGTAAAACCTTTGGTAAATCCAAAAGGCATACAAGTTATTTTCAGGTATCAAAATGTTGTTGCTGAATGATAAGACGCCAGGATTCTTGGCCTCCAGAGATGAATTCAATCCGGGGCCAGAGATGAGGCTGGATCACTCAGAGCTTTTGTGTAATAAAGTTTTATTAAAGTATAAAGGAGATAGAGAAAGCTTCTGACATAGGCATCAGAAGGGGGCAAAAGAGTACCCCCATCCTAGTCTTTAGCTGTATGTTATATAGTCACTCACAGTCTGTTAATGAAAAGAAAGGAATGTCTTAGAATTTAGAATGGCACCAGATAATTCATCCCTGGCCATAAAAAGATTGACTTGAATCTTGTAGAAGGTCAGATTACCAACAAATAGTTTCATTTACATAGATTAGGGGAACAATATCTGAGTAAGTAGGTTAGGCCATTTGGCGGAACTTACAGAGTCTGGGGTAAATTAACATAGCTTTAGGATAAATATTTCCATAAAAAAATGTATTGGTTAACTCAAGGTTTGAGAATAGTTAGCTTCAGGTGAAACCAGGTGTCATGGCAACACAGCATTTTAAGAGAAACCTCATTTTAAATTTGTATAGAGAAGAAAAAATATCGCTGGTTTGTTTCCTCCTGCCACTTAAGAGAGAGAAGAATGTCTGGCACTTGCAGCCTATTTCCTTCATTTGGAGACACCTGGCCTTCCTACCTGTTACCCTCTCAGTATTTTGATGATCTATACTAAACAGGTAATAATCAGTAATACCCGAACTTGCTTATGTCCAACGATAATAGAACTGTCTCTTTTGACTTCGTGGGCAGTTTCTAGAATATAATCTTCCACCCTACTTCACATGCTTAGTTAGATGGGATATGCCATGGGGGAATTGACTTATTGTCAGCATTGAGGCAGTGTTTGTAGCCTCACTCCTTGAGCTGGATGTGCATAGGAGTGAGCTCTGGGGAGGCAGATGACGGGGGTGGGAAATCCACGTCCAAAGAGATGTTCTAGGTTCCAAGCAGTGTGTCTGGTCACCAAGACCAGACATCACAATAGGAAGCAGGCCCCACCTGCAGATTTTTTTGAAGGACCAGGTGACATTCCAAGATTACAGGACAGTGACTCTTAAATTCCAGAAATGTTGTTTAGCATTGGGCATCCTTAGTCCTTCATTCTGTGTTCTTGAATGCTAATTGGAAAAGTAAACTTTTATTTATAGTTTTTAACCTATCCCTTTGTTTTTCTTACCTCTCAGCTTTGTATTTTGAAGACTGTCCCACAAAGTACCCTTGTTCCATATGAAATGAGTGATGCTGTGAAATTTACCTGTCTCAAGGCCTCTGTCAGGCTCTAGAGGCATCAGCAGAATGATGGCTAGACCTCCAGCTCAGGCAGAGTCTATTCAAATAAATTCTTTGCTCCTAAGTGTACCCTGGAGCTTTATTTCTGGTTTTTGTTGTTACAGGATTAATGGTAGCAGATTATATTTTATTATCTAATTCTTAGAAATACTGTCACCTAGGAATGTGTGATTGGTTAGTGAAACCCTGAGGAAGGACAGAATTTGAAAAGCATGTCTGCTGGTCGGTCCTAAGTCTTATCACTTGGTACCTGATCCATAGATGTGAACATCTGTATCCCCTTTCAGCTGCACTGCCATTATCAAAATATGTTCATTTGTTTAATGCTTTTCTACCAGTATCTCAAATATGGATTGAATGTGGTACCTGAGGGGAGAGAAAGGAGTCGATGCTGGTGTCTGGGTGCAGATACTTAGCACCTGGGTGAACAGGGAGGATGGAGGGAAAAGGGAAATGCAAGGGTTCTCTCTGGAGCCTGTCACCTTTGTGATGAATGACCTTGTTTTCTGTAATGACCTTGCTCTTCTCTGTGGAGCTGTCCTTCCCACTTGCTATGGTGATCTGTAACATCAGTGATCTTTGATGTTACTACCATGCTTTGCTGAAGTCTCCAATGATGGTTACTATTTCTTGGCAATATATTACTTTTAAATTAAGGTCTCTACATTGTTCTTCTCAGACATAATGCTGTTGCACACTTGATAGGGTACAGTGTAGCATAAACATAACTTCTGTATGTTCTGGGAAACCAGAAAATTCATGTGACTCACTTTTCTGTGATAGACACTACATTCTGGTGTTCTGAAACTGAGCCCACAGTAGCCCCAGGGGATGTCTGTACTCCTTTCCTTTCAGGAAAGCAGGTGATTGTTCTGAAAGCTTTAAGTACATAAAGGCAAGTCAATCTGCTACAAAACCTGATGCTCCAGAAGGCAGGTGGCCAGTGTTAGGGAGTGGCTGGGGAAGAGGCAGATGCTGATGAAGGGCATAATCAACAGTGTTGTCACCATTAAGTCTTGTCATTGCTAGACTTTATGGTGAGAGCATTAAATTAAGAACATATCTCATGCACCCAGCCTGGTGCACTGGGAAGACCCAGAGGGATTGGGTGGAGAGGGAGGTGGGAGGGGGGACCGGGATGGGGAATACATGTAAAAAAAAAGATACACTATGGTTGTGATTAAAAAAAAAAAAAAAAAATTAAGAACATATTGCAAATCTTGTCATTGCTAAGGTGTAATTTTTACATTTTGTTGAACTGATGAATACTTCTTCACAAATATGGACAAATATGGTTTCGTTTGCTGTAAGTAAATCAAGCAGAAGGCTTGTTATGAAAAAGTTGTAACCTGGTTAATAGCTTTACTTATGTGTTGGCTCTCCAAATGGATTTACTCAGCTTTGGTTCATTAAGCACCATTAATGTGTCACTCTTGGGGTTCTATTTTATAAAGATGTTCTCTCAATTTTAATTTTTTTAACAGGATGAAGTCATAAGAACAGCTAATTCAATCTTCCTCATTTACTCCAAAATAGTGCAGCAGGACAGACAAATTAGAAATCTTCTTTCTCTGAAGACTCACCACTGTCTCTACATTAGAGGGCTTTTCCTATGGTTTGCAGGATTAGCAGGGTGCTCATGACCTGCTTTCTCTGCAGCCAACAGCACAGCTCTTCCCTCTAGTCCCTGCACACTGCAGTCTTCATATCACCCAGGTTCTCCCTGGTAATGTGAGCAAAGAAAGTGTGTTACAATCTGCAGTTGGGTTAACAGTGTTGTTGTCTGTGGCCAACATTTTCACTGTCTGCAGTTAGAGAATTCTCTGGAAATGAATGTTGAAGGACCAAAACCAGGACCAGTAACTGAGATCTTACATCTTTTATTTATAGACAATCTTATGCTTTTATATGTTTTACCTCTCTTCCTCAATTCAAACCTCTTCTTAGTATAATTTTCCTCAGAGAAATAAAACCCAGAACCTGTTGTAATATACCTATCTGAAAATTACAAAAATAACACCTTCCTAACTAGAGTTTTACTGAAATTCTGTTTTTCACTTTCATGGAACTTTTCTTTAATAAGCCTCCATGGCTGCAGCTAGATATTTCAGAAGAGAAAAACCTTCAAAAACATGTCAAGCGTTTCATTCAAGTTTTCAAAAGTAAGATAACTAATGTGGAGGTAGAAAGCACAGTCAGAGAGAAGAAATACTTCATGAATGAGGGCTTCTTACATGCAAAAGCAACTTTGGGAGAGCATCTGTGGAGGTGCCTGTGACCCAGCCTTCATCCTTCCCCAGTGAGAAGAATGATTTATTATTTCAAAACCTAAGAAAGGATTTTGAATTAATTCTTACTACTTTGTCTAGTCACAGAGAAAATAACAGGTACCCATTTTACCAGTGAGGGACCCACCCTCCAAGGTTGGACAACTGTCCCTGTGTCACCTGGCAGCCAGAAACAGAGGTCTGACACTCGGAGGCCTAGCAGCTCTACTTGTTGCTAAGTGGGACCTACCTCTATTGCTTGTCATCATTTCCTGGTATCTTTCTTGTCAGGCTTTTCCTTCAACTTCTCCTGCCCCCACCTCTCTGTGCACTCGCCCACCTCTCCCTGCACTCATCTTTATCACTGATTGCATCCTGCCAATGCAAATGGATGAAATTATCTTGCAGTGGGTCCATTTAATTTCTATGTCTAGGGCAGCTACTGGGAATATCTGCACATTAAACAGGCTTAATAAACACATCTTCATTGAGCTTATGTAACTGAATGACTTCATCCAACAAAATGTACCTTTACTTAACCTACTTTAACTTATTAAGTAATTCAACGTTGGGGTTCCTGGAGAGATCCTGGGGTTCAGGGGTTGTTATCTTCTTGAATGTGTGTTTTAGTTTATAGTTTAACTTGGGTTACAGGAAGAGTGGGGACATAGCAGGAAATTATAGGAGCTTTTTCTTATAAAGGATGTTAAAAATATAAAATTATACCTACTTTTCTGCACATAAAGAGAATTTGGATTTGCTTTATGTTTATTTCTACAGAACTATCTATAATCTTTGATCAAACCAGTAAATGTAAAGACTGAGTTGGTAAAATTCTATGTCTGGCCTTTTGTCAGCCTGTGTCCCATCTCAGCTCTTGTGGCCCCTACATGAATCTTGGCTTTTAAGTTTGATTAGGTCCCATTTATTTTACTTTTATTTCTTTTGCTTTGAGAGAGTGATCTAAGAAAATAGAGCTGTTATTTATATCAAAGAGTCTTCTGCCTGTGTTTTCCTTTAGTTTTATAGTATCTTGTCTTATATTAAGTCTTTAAATCATTTTGAGTTTATTTTTGTGTATGGTATAAAGGAGTATTCTAATTTCATTCATTTTCAGGTGTCCTGGTGTTCAGTACTATTTACCAAAAGACTGTCTTTTCTCCAATATATATACTTGCCTACTCTTTCATAGATTAATTGACCACAGATGTGTGGAGACCTTTGTTTTAAAATTGAAGCTTTTCTTCATCAACATCAGGAGGAGCAGTTATGTTTTATCATGCTATGCTTAAGTAAAATTGCATGTTCAGGGCATCTAAATTGGCATGCCAAGTTATAGAATATTAAAACTGTTATGTGGATGAGACAAATTCAGTTATTCTTGGACTCTTTTGAGAAGGCTGCCCTTAGCAATGGTTCACAGTAGTAAACGAAAAAGTAACAGGAAAATGGCCTTTATGAGACGTAAATGTTTCCAATTAAATACAAAGGATGAAATTAACTATAATACCTAGATGTAGAAAAACAACCTGTGTCTTGTTTAGAGTTCCAGCATATTCTTTTAAAATATATTTACTCTAAATATGATCTAAATGAAGACTTTAAGCACCATTTAACATCAGAACCATTTTTATAATTATATCATTTGGGCCAATTGTTTCAGACACTTTTTTCTTCCACCAGAACCATTAACCAAAGTCATTAGTAAGTAGAAAGGCAGAGTTCAGAGCCCCTTCCTCTCCCTTTCAATTTCCAAATAGCAGACTTATAAATGAGCATTTATAAAAGGGGTGAAGTGTAGGCAGCTGAAGGCAGAAACAAGGAAAGAAAGAACTTGTGAAAACAGATTCAGATCCTAGGTGGTTCAGGTTTGGTCGGCCCCATGTGCTCTGTAGGCCATGATCACTAGAATTTGGAGGTCAATTTCTTACGTGCATCTTTAGTCTTATCCAAAGAAAACACTGGATTTTTAGAGATTTCTTCTTTGCAGAGCAATTCTGCAAAAGCTGCTTATGTACCAGCTCTTTTTGCCAGGCTTTCACTCTCAGAATAATAGATACAACCGAAGCCAGTTTCAAGAATCATCCCAACCTCTTGGACAAGGACTTCTGCTCCTTTTAGAAGCTAACATTAATATAGGACCCTAAAGAAATCCTGGAAGCATTTACTTTTTTCCCCAAATATTACTCAGATTGTCAAATCAACTTGACAATTAATTTGTTTTCAGGGCACTGCCATTTGATATATGACACCAGCCTACTTTTTAAATAAATGGAGTTTGATTTTCTTGAATCAAAATATTTCCCAACTCTGTATCTGAATAAATAGCACTCAAAGCTCAGGGTCTGAGAGCTAAAAACACTAACTAATGATAACAACCTCAAAGGTACTGGGAAGAATTTAAGATGTTATGGACTGGTGAGTGCCAGTAATCATAGTGTAAAACTTTCATGTCCTTCCTTTCCTTTAAACTTAATAAAAGTCAAGTTAGGCCTTTGTTTGCTAGTAAAACAGGGTAATCAAACCATTTAAACACCAGCAGGCCTACCACACAGATAGATTCTCTCTATTCTCCCTGTCCTGCCCCTTTTGGAAATATTCTCTGAGTTATAATATGTTACTGTGAAACATTGTGAGCTAACAGATTTCTTTCTGCTGTTAACAGGTTTTGGATTCAGGAACAGGGAAAGAATTTTGGAAGTCATATACTTTGCTGCAGAATGAGAACAGTCTATTTTACAAGATGGTGCAACAACTGGGCGAGGCAGAGGCTGCTGCCCTCACTGAAAGGGCAAAATAGGTGAGCCTGCTTTGGGAGTTGTAATTAAAGTTCGTCTCCAGGGTTCAATCTTTAGGGACAAGCTACACCTGGGGTGTGGTAACAAGCAGTCTGTGTCCTTTTCAATCATAACCCTCCAGAGAGGAAGCTTCCACATCATTAACAACATGTGGCAGGTAGAAGGCAGGTCTGCTGAGAATCTGCAGCAGTGGTCAGGGTGGGGGTCAGGATGTGTGCACTCTTCTGTGTGCATATACCTGTGTCTGAGAGAGAGGCTTTGGATAGGACTTACCCCTTGGATTCTGTGTCCAGATTCTCATAGAGCACAGAAAACTCATTTTACAGACCGTTTACATTCATTCTGATTGGTGCTCAGCATACAAGTTCTGTCAAGGGATATCCAAGAAATTTGAGCTTAAGGGAAAACAATTTGGAATATTTTGGGTCTAGGAAGATCTACAAGGGAAAAGTGTAAGTCTCTTTCATTTTCTAATCTGTGAAGAAAACTCTTACCTGAAATTATCACTTTCTCCCTAATTCTTTGTTGTTTAGAATTAGGTCCATTTGCCCCCCATGCTTCCTCTGCCTTCTAGAAGATGAAGTTGTCATCAGGACAAATCAGGAACTCACAATCCCTTCACACTGTAGTCTGAGTGGTGCTGAAGGTCACAGAGCACTTTCTCAGAGAGGAGGTGTGGGAGGCACTAAGCACTGTGTGTGGTGTGAGGAAGGCACTCAGTGAGGAATATACGGGTCACGTGACATCTTCCAAACAGAGGTGAGGTGGTAACTGAGGTCTCGTTTAAGAGACTTAGCCATTGTCATGCAGGCATCTGTAAGTCTTTCTGGAACAGGGTGGGAATAGGGTTGATGGGAAGATGGAGGGAAGGTCTTGTGTTCTTGTCCCTTGACACGAGTGGCTGGGGGTGGGATAAGGCTTCCAGCTGTCTGCAGTGAGACTTCCCTGTCAAAAATTTATCTCTGGGTAGTAAATTATGGGTGTATTTTCCCTTCTTCATACTTTTCTGCATTTCCCAGATTTTCACTTGTAGACAAAATAAGATTACTTGCATAATATTAAAATATTTCTTAAAACATGTCCCAGTAGCTTAAGTACGTGTATGTAAAAGATTCACCTGAAATGTGGCCTAAGTTCCCTCCATCACTGTCTCTTCTCAACCCTCCTTAGAAATGAGGAAGTGTAGAGCAGTGCTTTACACGGCTCATAGGGTAGGAGATTGCCTGGGTCACAGAGCTGGCTGTAGAGTTGACAGAGTTAGAGTTCGTACTTACATTTAGGGACAAGGAAGTCTATATCCTGAACTTTTCATAAGTATTTATTTTGTATGCAAATACTGAAAAGCTGAACAAGGAATTCTGTATTCTTTTATGACTGAGATTTACACAGTACTTGTAACTATTAAGAGCTTCCCTGGTGGCTCAGATGGTAAAAGCATCTGCACTAAAGTGTCTTACAGCCAGAGCTTCCCGCCTAAGACCTGAGAATCATTTGTGATTCCCTGCATAACCTAGAGAGTCAGGAATCTCCCAAACTCTTTTGCTCTTTTGACTTTATGCATTTCACATCAGTTGTTTGATGGCATCACTGACTTAATGGACATGAGTTTGAGCAAACTCAGGGAGATAGTGAAGGACAGGGAAGCCAGCATGCTGAAGTTTATGGGGTTGCCAGGAGTTGGATATGACTTAGTGACTGAATAACAATTTCACATCAAAGAGAGGTGTCCCCACTTATGTGTCAAAGTCTTCATTTAAAAACTTATGTTATCATTATATAGTCAAGGCATGGAGTAATGAGAAATAGATCACAGAGTTTTAGATAGGTACAGAAAACATAAGGTAATAGGATCAACAGCCTCATTTGGGCCTCCTAGGTGGCACTAGGTTGTAAGGAAATGGCCTGTCAATGCAGGAGATGTGAGATGTGGGTTCAATCCCTGAGTTGGGAGGATCTCCTGGAGAAGGAAATGGTAACCCACTCCTGTATTCTTGCCTGGACAATTGCGTGGATAGAGGATCCCATAGTGGGCTATAGTCCATGGGGTTGCAGACAGACACAACTGAGCATGTATGCACACAGCCTCATTTTACAGGTGAGGAAACTAAGGCCCCTTAGAAGGAAGGTGGACCCATGTGTTAAGTTAGTTTGCAGCAGACACAGAATTAGGGGTCTTTTCTTTTAATAAATGTATTAAATCAAGTGCGACATACATATAGAAGCAGACACAGGTCATAGAATTAGAAATCTTGTGATTCATGGTCTAGTAACCCTGCACCTACTTTAACAATATTGATGGTAAGTTATATTTGTGTAGTTCTTTATAATTTATTTTGCACAGTTCTCACATGCATGATTTCACTTAATCTCATGATGGTTCTTTTTACCCTTTGTCATGGATGAGGAGATTTGTTCAAGGGCTCATTTAAGGTCACAGAGCTGGTCCAGAGACAACAGAAGGGGAATTGCTGGAGGAGGCTGCCCTAGGTGCTGTGTTCTGTGTCGAGTCTGAGAACACTGCTCCTTTCCTGTGGTTGCCAAGGTTGGGGCCAATCACTGATGTTCACAGGGTGACAGAACATCACTGCTGGATTTCAGTCCTGTCACTAGTCAGGTCACCTCTATGGAAAGAAATATGTATACTGATTCTCATTCCAGTTGAATACCTTCTTGACTTTATTTCTGTATACTCTGCATCTTCTTAGGAGGATGAGCTGTCAGATTATCAGATTTTTGAATGTGCAACATCAGATGGCAATGGCTTGTTCAGAGCTGTAGCACCAGGATGATTAGCCAAAGTCAACAAGCTTTTTCTCTAATAGAGCAGGATTTATTTATCTGAAAAAGGTGCATTTAAACATCTGGTAAAAGGTGCTTCCAAGTCACATTTTCCTGAACCCATAGTTCAGGCAAGCTGAATCACTGTCTCATTGACCTTTTTATATGACTCCTGAAATAGCAGAGAAAGTACCTGTTAGATATATAAAGCTGAAAGGAGCATTAGTTTGCTAGGGCTGCCATGTAAAGTACCACAGAGTAGATGACTTAAACAACAGAAACTAATTTTCTCTTAGCTCTGGAGACTAGAAGTCTAAGGTCAAGTTGTCGGTAAGGTTGGTTTCCTCTGAGGTCTCTCTCCTTGGCTTGGAGATGCCGTCTTCTCTCTGTGTCCTCACATGGTCTTCCCTCTGTGCACCTGTGTCCTGATCTCCTCTTCTTATAAAAACTCCAGTGTATTAGATTAGGACACATCTGTATGACTTCATTTTAACTTTATTGCCCCTTTAAAGACCCTGTCTCAAAACTCAGTTGCATTCTGAGGTACTGGGAGTTTTAGGGCTTCAACATGTAAAATTGGAGGGGACACAATTCAGCCCATAACAAAGGAGACATGCCTGCCATTCATTTTCTTCTGTGATGAAGCAGACCTGATTGAGGTTTTCTGAAGTTTCTTTGTTCCCAGTGTGTCACAGAGGTGTCAGTTTGTCTATTCATGAAATCACCTAATAGAGCCCCAAAAGTTATGAAATCCTCATATTCTGGATCTTGAAGCCTGGACCAGTTTGAGCAGGTGGAGGAGGCACTTAGCATCCACATGGCCTTGTGTTCTCCAAGGTCTCTGAGCCTCAGGTCCTCACCTGTGTATAGATCAGGGATTACAGCCCTGCTGGCTTCTTCACACTTATTATAAGGATCAGATGAGAGAGCATATGCTTAAGCGCTTTGAGAATATAGAGTGTTTTACAGTATAAAAGTGGGATCATTTTTTTAAAGGCTGTAGTCAGAAGCCTTGCCTCCCAATAATAAAGCCAATATACCCTTAGTTCTTCTAAGTGGCTTTAGAGGCTCTCAATCAGAGGTCCCCAACCCCTGGGCCACAGACTGGTACAGGTCTGCAGGCTGTTAGGAACTGGGCACCACTGGGATATTAGGAGGTGAATGGTGGGCAAGTGAGTGAAGCTTCATCTGCTGCTCCCTGTTTCTCAAATTACATCTGGACCTCCCCCAGCTACACCCTTTTCACTGCATCTGTGGAAATCTTGTTTTCCATGACACTGGATCCCTGGTGCCGAAACAGTTGGGGACCACTGCTCTAAAATAATTAAAATGTATTTTTAATAGTAAGTTTTTAAACAAATGATACATTTAATGTTATAAAATTTTAACAGTTTTTAAAAATACTTTTTAAAATTTATGAACAAAAAGTAAATCACCCTCCACTCCTGTCATCACACAACTCCTCCCCCATGTGGAGCCCCAGCACCACTGTTGACTGTCCTGTTGAATTCTGTGTGTCAGGAAGAACTTGTGAACATGTGGTCTTCCTGTTTTTAAGCACAAATGATAGTTGTTCTCTCCTTTTTTCAGTTCATATTGTATCTCAGATTATATCAATACATATTGTTATCTCATTCTTTTTAATGTCTACATAATATTATGCTTTCTCCATTTCCTATTCCTTATTTTCAATGCTTATCAAGCAGAGTTTATAAAATATAATGATTACAACCTGATATTAACATCTGAATTTGTTGTGGTCATTTTATGTATGAAAATGAGAAACCTTTGGGCAGACACTGTTCATAGATTTCCTAGCCTGTCACCCTGTTTTTAATTTCTCTCCAGTTAGTAAAATGATTTTACTTATCAATTTCCTGTAGTGATAAAACATATCTGAGAATCAGAATGATCAGAACTATAGTAAATCTACAGGTTATTTGGCATTAAGCCCAGCCCCACTGAGAGTTTTAATGAGACTACTTCCTCTGTAGAATAAGTACACCCCTGTTTTTTTTTTAATTGTGCGTCTACTAGTGATATGATTGCTTCACATGAAGAAGTGAACCTAGAAATGTGATGCTTTAGGAGAAGGATTTTAAAACTGTTAAATATGTTGTTTTTGTCTTTTTCCTCCCTTAGGTGCACTTCAGAAAGAAATAGCCACAGTTACTCACAGTGACAGTGTGGTTATGAATGCTTCCAGTGGACAGCCCTCAGCTTT